GACAGCGGCGCTGCTCCTCACGTACCCGTTCTTCACTTCTCCGTTCGCCACGCAGCCGTTCGTCCGCACCGGACGCCGGCAGCAGCAGCCTCCTGGCTCCGGCCGCATCGTCCCGGCAGCACCAGGCACAAGGCAGGCTCTGTAGGCGGAGGCAGCAGCGGCGACTCCAGTCCCGCTCCGCACCCCACCCACCTCCCTGAAACCGGAAATGGCTGCAGTGCCGCCGCCAATTCCCGGCCTGGCCGTCACTGAGAGGCGGGGCTCACTCCCCGAAGAACGCGGTTCCCCCAAAACCAGCGGCGAAAGGAAAAGCACCGCCGACCAATCTGGAGGAGGGAGAGGCGTACCCTTCGCTGCTGTCTGACCAATCACCAGTGAGAGTGAGGGCCCTGGCCAGGGTGGAGGGTACTTTTCCAGAGGGACAGTGAACCTGACACCTGATTGGAGGTTTAAGCCAAGTCGTGAGCAGGGCTTGGCTAGCTAATGGTCTAGACTGAGTAGGAGGCGGGGTCCAAGAAAAATCCGCCAATGAGTGTGAAGAGAGAAAGGGGACTGAATGTAAGTCTCTGGAGCGGGTTCCCTGGTTCTCTCGGATTGGTGGCGCCCTCTCTGCCCTTGCCTCCAGGGAAGAGGGTTTGAATCTCAGCCCCAAGACTGGCAGCTCTTTCATTTAATTAACGAATTCCTCTGTGGATGCTTATAGAATTGCCTTTTTTAACATACTCTCATCATTCTTTAGTATGTCACACGTCTCTTAGACACGTTAACACATTTCTTAAGTAATAATAATACAGATGTCCCTTTGCCCTTTGTTCTATTCCCTTTAGCAGTGTCTCTGCTAAGATTTTCTGTACAATCTTCCTTAAAAAGCACCTTGTTTAAAGCCTAAAAACCTAGTCTATTTACAACTTTGCCAATAACTGGAAGCTAAGCTTTAAGCATTTAATCACTTTGAGAGACAATTTCTTAACTTGTAAAAATGAAATTAATACTTCCTGCTTCATAGTCATGGCAAGAATTAGATTAATAATATGTTGTGCACTATAAAGAGCCTGATAAATGTTACTTCACCTTTGTTTTATTCCTGTCTTTGCATAGGGTATAGAAAGAAAGAAAATGGGTCTAAATTTCAGGTCCCCATTAAAACAAAACTAGTGTCTTAATTGAAAGTCATTTGGTCTGGGTTTGAATTCTGGTTGCACCATTTACTAGCTGAGTGACCTCTGAGAGTCTTCATCTGTTAAATAAAGATCATAATTGTTGATGTGATGATTACATATGTTAATATAGGTAGAGTATTTGGTACAGGATCTAGCAATTAGCAAACATTCGTTAAATGTTGGTTATTAGTAGTTGTTGAGTGTACCTATGACAGCCCCCCCTTTTTTTTAAACTTTCAGAGCTTTAGAAAGAGGGATGGCAAGTTATTTGTTTTTCACGATTTAAGAGTAGATTGTATGATCCTGGCTCTCTTGGAAAAAGTACAGCTAAAATGCTCTGTAAAAGCATGAATATTTTGTCTTTTTTTTTTTTTTTTTTTAGGAACTACCAAGGATTTTGAAGCTCCATCTCACATACTTTGGGCATGTGGCCAGGAGGGACCAGTCTTTGGAGAATAACATCATACTTGGAAGGGTGGAGGGATAGCACAGCAGAGGAAGACCCCAGATGAGATTGATTGACTCAGTTACTGGGGCAATGGGATGAGGTGTGTCAGATTCAGTGAGACAGGCTCATGATAGGGCAGGGTTCAGAGCTACTGTATCTAGAGTCATTATGAGTCATGGGCAACTCACTGGCAAATAACAGCAACAGAAAACCAGTATGAGATTGCTACTGTGTTTATGGGGCAATGTCTATAAATAATTTTTTAAGTGAATAAAGAGATAAAATAGGTAGACCTGTCAAAGGATGTCCCATGGCATAATGTGTTATATATTCTGTGCTAACCAAAAGGACATTGGTTTGAATCCACCAGCTTGCTCTATGGGATCAAAATGGGCAGTCTTCTGCCCTAAAGTATTACAGCCATGGACTGTCAAAAGAAGAGCTGTCTATATCTTGCAAGTTGTATGCCTAGAATGATCCTTAAAAGATGAAATTTCATCTGACATAATTTGGACATGTTATAAGGAGGGTCCAGGCCCTGGAGAAAGACATGGTTGTTAAGTAAAGAATCAGCAAAAAAAGGGGAAAGGCCCTCCATGAAATGGACTGATGCTGCCACAATGGGTTCAAAGATAGCCCCAATTGTGTGGATGGTGCAGGAAGGGGCAGGGTTTTGTTCTGTTGTGCATGGGGTCATTATGATTCAGAACTAGACAGCAGCTAACACGGTAGTAGAGCAATCAAACAGCAGGGGAGCAGGGCAGATAGCCTGTTTGAATTGGCAAACCCTGTGTTCCCTAAGTATATGGAAGTCCATGATAGATGTATGAGCATCCAAAAGGAGTGTATGTTTCAGCCTCATGGAACTTCTACTCATGTGACAGACAAGATGTACCAAAACCAAGTTGTCTTCAAGTCACCTCTGACTCTTGACAAACCCACATGGGAGAGAGCTGAACTGTGTGCTTCCAAAGGGGTTTTGGAGGTCATAGTTTGGAAGCAAACGCCTAGGTATTTCTTCAAAAGTGCTTCTGGTTGGCTTCAAATATCCAACATTTCACTAGCAGCTGAGTGCCTTCAACATTTGCATCACCCAAGGACCAATGAAAGCATACATATTAAGTAAACAGTAAGAGCTCATGTCAAGGACTGTAGTCTTCAATATGGATTGAAGTTCAACATCAAGAAGACATAAATTCTCACCACTGGGCCATTTGACAGCATCTTGATAGATGGAGAAGAGATTGAGGTTGTTAACAATGACAGCTTGCTCAGCTCCATAATCAACACTCTTAGCACCAGCAGTCAAGAAATCAGAAGACAAATTGCATGGGGAAAATCTGCTCTCAGGGACCTCTCCAGAGTACTGAAAAGCAATATGCCAATGTAGACACTAAGGTGCACCTGATCCAGGCCATAGTCTTTGCAATTACTGGCTATGCATAAGACAATGACTAAGGATGACAGAAGAATTGATGCCTTAGAGTTGTGGTGCTGGAGAAGAGTCTTGAACGTACCATGGACTGGTAAGAAAATAAATAGTTCTGTCTTGGAGAGGGTGAAACCAAGTTTATACTTGGAGGCTAGGATGTTGAAGCTCTGTCTCATACTATGAACACGTGGCCAGGAGAGACTGGTCTTTGAAGGAGGACATAATGCTGGGAAGGGTAGAGGGACAGTGCAGGAGAGGAAGACTCCGGATGAGATGGACTGACACGTAACTGAGACAATGGAGGTTGCTGTGTCTGAATTAGTGAGACTGGCTCAGGACAGGGCAGGGTTCAGAGCTGCTGTACATAGGGTCACTATGGGTCGCAGGTGACTCAACAGTACATGACAACAACAAAAAGAGCCCTTGTAAAAGTTGGAGAAACCAAGTCACAGGAGTTCTGCTGAGAGACACTGGGTATCAGAGATAAGTCTAGGTTTTCTATTTAGAAAACTTTCAGGGCAGGAATCTGGTTGAATGCAGGCCTGAGGAACTAGTCTAGAAGTGAGTTTAGATAGTGTGCTGTATCAGTTTGGAGAGGACTTGGAAGAAGATGCATAACAAGTTTAATCCTGAAGCAAGAGCAGGATTTGAAAACTGAAAAGGAAAGAGAGGGTGTTATAAGGCAAGGGACCTTCAGAATCTAAGGTGCAGAAGCTGGAATGAGAAAAGCTTTAGGCAGTGAAGCATCCTGGCTACATGAAAGGAATCTTACTTGCCGGTCCCTCCCTCCTAAGGGTAGGACACCAAGTTCTTGTTTGCCACTTACTCACGCTATGTGGTCTTGTACGAGTCATGCAATATCTCAACCTTCATTTCCTCATCCCTCTTACAAATTTAATACCAATGCTGCTTACCTCAAAGGGCTTTGGTGAACATCAATGATATAAGACACAAATGGTCTGATTACTCCACTTGCCATTGCTAAATCACAAAGATGATGCCTTTCAAGGCAGCTGGAAACACCCCAGGCTCTGTATAAACAGGAAAACAACTTCTAGATGCTTAAGCCACTTAATTAATCTTCATCTTACTGAGTTCAAATGCAAAGTTCTGGGCTAGGTACCAACACCACAATATTTCTCCTCCTTCAAAATTGCTTAAGTCATCTTAACTTTGAACTCCAATCTCCCTACAAAATTAGGTACTTTCTCTTCTTTGAACTTTCTGCACACCTGTGTAAAACATGTCACATTGCTTTTGGATTCTTGAATTTTGAGAGGCACGTTACACAGTGCATGGAAGGAATAGATCTGTAGTCAGACATACCAGGTTTGGAGGTCAAGCACCTTTAAAAGCTTTGTGACTCTGGGGAAGCTGCCTCACTTCTCTGCTGTCTCAATTCCTTCATCTGTAAAATGAGACTTACCCCATAAATTGGTTGGTGGATTAAGTAAGAAAAATATGCAGTACCAGAGCCAATCATGCAATAATCTAGGTAAGTGATACATTAACTAAATAGATAAATTATTTATTAAGTGAATAATTGAATATGTTTATAGCCCAAGCTTGACATCTCAACACAAGAAAACAAAACTTCTCACTGGACAAATAGGCAGCATTATGATAGAGAAGAAATTGGAATTGCCAACAACAATTTCATTTTAGTTGGATCCACAATCAATACCCTTGGGACAAACAGTCAAGAAATCAAAAGGCACATCACATTGGGAAAGTCTGCTGGCAAGGGCCTCTCCAAAGAACTAAGTTTACAGACCAAGGTGCACCTGATTTGGCCTATGGTATTTTCAGTCACTTAGTATGTAGCTGAGAACTGCGCAATGAATAAGGATGACAGAAGAATAATTGATGCTTTTGAGTTTTTGGTGCTAGAGAAGAGTGCTGAATATTCCATGGACAGTCAAAAGAACAAACAGAAATGTCTTGGAGAAAGCCCAGCTAGAATGCTCGTCAGAGACAAGAATGGAGAGGCTTTATCTCACATTCCTTGGGCATGTTGTAAGGAGAAGCTGTTCCCTGGAAAGGGATATGTTTGCAAAAGTGAAGGCTCAGTGAAAGAAGGGAAGACACTTAACAAGATGGATTGATACAGTGACTGCAATGGGCTCAAGTATGTTGGAAACAATGAGAATGGCACAGGATGATCTGACTGGGTTCAGATCTGTTGTTTATAGGATCACT